TTCAATGGCGTTTTGAGAAGGACTTTGTCTTTTACATCAACCGCCACGCGGCGGGCTCATTATGAAAGCGACGTGGAGAGTACGGAATCCCGTACAAGGATTTCGTCCGCGGATTTAAGTGCTTCCCTATATTAGTTATTTTCTATTTTATCATTTATATATATATTTTTATTTTACTATAGGTACATTACATTATAGTTAATAAGTTGTTAACCTTATTTAACAAATGATAGTAAAATATAGAAATATAGTGAGATTCTTACACTTTAATGTGACTGACAATAGTTATTAATAGGGTGAATTATAGAAATCCCTCCATGAACTCTTGGGAAGTTGCAGTTAAACCCCAATTAACTTTTTTATTACACTAAATCCGCATGATCTTTTAGGAGGTTGTACATGAGCCCCATGAGCTGTTTTATTTCACATAAAAATTTCTTATTTAATCTCCGTATTATCACAATTAATTCTAACGTGTCATTGGTACCCACAGGACAAAAAAAGACGAAAAAAAATCTTCTCGGTCCTAAAAAAATATTTTATTATGAAGAAAAATATGTAATTTTTTAAGACTAAGGAGTTATTTTTCTTTTATTATTTTGGGAACATGTTTGCCACATTAGATATTAGAATCGATGGTGCTAATTTGAAGATTAAACGAGAAATTTTCCTATACAATTTATTGAAATAAAACAATTCAAGCAAGTTATGTGTAACTCCTTAAAAAGTTCGTGGTGGTTTATTGCAATAAAAGAAGTTGATGGTGATTTACTGCATTTCCCAAATGTTCATGGGGGTTTTCTGTAATTAAAAGCCCTTATTAACATCTTATTTGGGGGGAAAAAACAATTGTCGTTAATATGAATTAGCAAATGTGAAAATTAGGATAAATTACCCAGAGTACTTCTCGGATTTGCAAGATTCCGGAAATAAATCCTATTAGTATTTCAAATGTGAATCTTTCATTCATTCGTGTAGTTTCTACAAAACTAGATCGGATACACACGCACACAAATTGATAATTTTATATATTACTATCATTTAATGATTTAAGCATGTATATGTTTTTTTATTGAAAGTTGAGGATAAATAAAAAAGTTTGATAATTATTTGACTTGAAAATAAGTGAGTAAAATATTAGTTTTAGAGATATTTGAGGGGTTTCTTTCGTTTCTGCAAAACGTAATAGATCTTTTTGTACAAAATCACCCAAAAATATAGTGGCTTTTTGAAGAACCATCATAGTTTTTTAAATTTTTCATAGAACCACCACAAAATATACTGGTTTATTGAAAAACCACCACAAAAATTTTATTTTTCATAGAACCACTAGAAAAATATAAATCTTTTACAAAGTCCCACCAAGTCATAATTTACATCAGTATTTTATTAAATAATAGTATAAAATGACATAAATGCTCATTATGACAAATTTTTAGAGAGGATGTGTTGGTATTTGAAGGGAATTAAACTTCTTTAAGGGAGTTAACAAAGTTTTAGAGGAAAAATAAGGTATTTTCTTTTGTTTTATTTATTTATTTATTCATTTTGATAATGAGGCGACCGAGAATTAAATCCAAGATAGCTGGAACCATATTCAACCTCCCAACCATCTGGGTCATCAACCGTGCTCGCGTATTTTGTTGGTTTGAGAAAATACAATAATATGCTGGTGGGCCCATCATGAGGATATTTTAGGGATTTAGCATATTATTTAGTTAAACATGATATAGATGTAAAATTATAATTTGGTGGCACTTTGTTATGGATGTATATTTTTATGGTGGTTCTATGAAAAGAAAAAAAATTATGGTGGTTCTCTAGAAAACCACTATACATTGTCGTGGTTGTATGAAAATAAAAAAAATTACAGTGGTTTTCTGAAAGACCATTATATTTTGTGATGGTTTGTATAATAAAACCTATAAACAATTGATTCGTCCCATCCTTTTAATTATTTTTTTCCGAAAGTTGTATGTATTTTCCAACATGGGCATTAAAAGGATAGGATGATTATGAAAAATCTCATATCCCATTAAAAAAATAATTTAGATATATCATTAAAATGTAGGCTAAATTGCACTTAAATACCGCCTAAATTTCCCTGGTACATATATACCATAAGTTGTTAAAAAATTAGCACGTTAATATCCCTGATCATGCAAACGATGAAACTTTTATCTAAATGTTCCCATTTGACACTAACATGTTAACTTTATAACTTTCTAGCAATTAATATTTATTAAATTTATTATTGAACATATTCCAACTCTATTTTAAAGTCGAATTAAGATAAGCTTAAAAAAAACTTCAGTTGATTTAATAGCAAATTTAACAAATATTAATATTTAAAAAGCTCTAAAATTAGCATTTAATTATTATAGAGAAACATTCAGGTAAATAGTTTCACATTTGCACAATCGATGGTACTAATGTGCCAAATTTTTAAACAACTTATGGTTTTTTTACCACAAAATACAATTTATGGTATTTAAGTGTAATTTAGCCTGAAAATAATAGATATTGTTCATGATTGCCTTTTTATTGAAATTTAAGCAACTTAGGTACCATTAATATTGCATTATTAGTGCAGGAACTGTGGAAGAAATTGCGTCACGCTATTAACAAGAGTTGATGCATGTTTGTGTTGCGTGTGGGAGAGTACGCAAAGAAAATGTGATAGATTGCAAGAACGAGAACAAAAGCAAAAGCAAACGAATTAGATGCTTTTGTTTACTTTTATTTTTTGCTTATCTGCTTTTCTTTTTTTTTTCTTTAGAAAAATAAATATAACCAATTGTTCGTCATCTTGTGATTCAAATCCTTGCAAAAAAAACATTGTTAATTTATGAATGGGTGGAATTGGAACGTGGAGCAACTTTCTTTAAAAAAGTTCCTTTAGTTTTTTTTAAAATAAAAAAATTATCATGTTATTGTCTATCATTAATATATAATTGTATGTCATGTGAATAGGAAAAAAAAGTAAATATAATTTATGGGGGAAAAAGTTAAGGAGGTCTCAAAAGTTCGAGTTTAGCGATGTGAGGTTTAAATTTATGAAAACGACATTCGGAAGTTTCAACTTCTACGACTGTTACTATTATTTAATTCTAAAGTAAAACAAGGCATGAGACAGGTGAGGTGTCACCATCCGGTTGCATGATGTATTATTTATGAACAGTGCATCATGCAACCGGATGATGACACATCACATGTCTCATGCATTGGATCCCTTATTTGGATCCCTGAGACATTAATGTTTAAAATATACCCCCAGCATCCTATTATTCTTCTTTCTTTCATTTATTTTTTATGTTCGTTCGATTTCTCACTGATCCAAACAAGGACAGTAGATCTGGCAAGAAAAAGATTTGTACATGATTACCAATAATATTTTGCCTTACAAAATTAATGGTCACAAAATGAAAAGAATGTAGGTACGTTGAAAAAGAATTGAAGTTATCATTTCACGTTCTCATCGTTAATTCAGCGGTCATTGTTCAAAAATCATTTTTAGAGCATTTTTTAAAAAGCAAATTTATATTAAGAGCAGTAAAATAAGAAATTGAGTGAAAATTTGATGTGTTAAATTGAAAATAACTCTTTGAAGAGGGAGGAGGCCTCGGATCTTAAAGCATACATGATATGTATAAGCTTTCTCTTTACTTCCTTTGTTTTTGCTAATTCATTAACTGTAGTATGATTTTTATTTATTTATTATCATTATTATTTTTTGATAAGCCAGTCTGGAGTCAAATTCTAGGCCATAAAATCATATGGAAACTTTCTAATTGTTCAGATCGGTTATAATCCGTATGATTTCCTGACGTGGTATTTGGATGATATAAAATATTCTGGGATGCAAGGTTGGGCCGGGCTTTTCCGAGTATCACATAGACAGCGTATTAGCCTGGAAACAAAGCCCAATTGCGATTTAGCCCGATTTAGGCCCACTCGAGCTAAAGCGGCGAAGGAACCTCCATTAAGTATAAATGGTTTTTGTACATATGCCCCTTATATATTCTATATATGCAAATATATACTCCAAATCTTCGCCTTTGAAAAAGTGCCCCCAGATGCCCTCTTATTGTGTTTTTCTACCCCTCAACTTAACAATGAACAATATTGATTTCTAAATAGAACAATGGCAAAATTTGTGAATACTTTTTAATATGCTTACACCATTTTTTCGTTCTGAAACTAAAACTGTTAAGCAGGAGGGAGAGAAAAACTCAATATGAGAGAATTGGGGGATAATTTTGCAAATATCAAAATTTAGAGCATAGTTTTACAAATATGAAAGATTTGAGGGGTATATATGCAAATGCTCTACTTATTATTAGAGGAGTAATATTAAATATTAGATTTTTTTTTTTTTGCTTTGAAACCCCCTTATTTTTATGGCCAATTTACATAAACCACATTATATTTATAATATATACCTAGACTACATACAAAGTTAGTTTTTCTTCCAATCAACCACCCGATCTACTTACGAAATTAAATTTTTTCCCCCTAATCAACCTACCTGACTCGACTTGGCTGCTAAAATTTCTATGAAACTCCAACAATACCTTCACTTAATCTCAAGTGGAAAGCTTACAGAGCAGCAACAAGAAAGGTCCTGTACTTTACATGTGCTTTATATTGTTAAGGATTTTAGGAAAATTATTACAACAAAGTGGGTTTAAGTGGTTGATTGGAAGGAAAACTAACATTATAAATGGGTTAGACATAAAATTAGAAATATAAAATGATTTACATGAATTGACCCTAAATATAAAGTAATTTCTAGGGAAAACCCTAAATCTTATGATCATACCTTAAAATTTTACCCCTATTTGATAACGTTCAAGAGAAACAATAGAAATCCCAATATACATAACATTTATCCACATTCGAAAATAATGGTAAGCTCAGAAGCGAAAAAAAAATTAAGATAATTGTCTGAAGGGAAATACGTGCTACTGAATGTACATCTGAGAAGGATACCTGTAATCTATCCTCAAACAAATATAGAAAAACTTACAACATAGGAGTTTACAAACATAATTTCTTACCTTCATCAAATCAATCAATTATATAAAAACTTTACATCATCCAACATATACGTAATTCATAGACAAAACTTTAGTAGGGGTCTTGATGTATTGGCCAAATATCAGTCGAGTTCTTGATCTTTGAAAGCTATCACATGAGGTCACTGATGTTACCTCCGTCATCAGTCTAGATCCTTTTTACAAAATTTACTTAAATCTTACCGATGTGGCGATAGCGTGACTCTGCCATGTCACTGTCACACCAGCAAAAGTTAGTAAAATTTCAAGTTCAATAGAAACTTATAATTTTACTATTCTTTGGTTAATGTGGCAGTGATGCGGATAGACTTGGTTTTTCACTAAATTTTTTTACTGGCATAGTAAGGCCACATCATCGTCATGCCAGCGACATTTAACAGAACTCTGTAAAAAGGACCAAAAGTGGAGCCTAAGATAATGCTGGGGACCCCCACTAATGAATTAGGAGTGTTGAAGGCATAAATGATGTCCACTGAACTTTTGCCTGCTTTTTGCACTCCCCGTGTTCACTGTGATCCATACACTACAAAAACAACCCAGGAACTTCAAAAGAAACTTTTTTGGGACTTGATTGGAGATGCAAATTTGTGATGATTAATAATCCCCATAATAACTCTTTTCAAGATGTATGTTCCTCTTTTGCTGTGATGATTAATAATCCCCATAATAACTCTTTTCAAGATGTATGTTCCTCTTTTGCTAAAGAGAGAGAGCGTGATTAACATCGTCATCATCAATTCTCATCATCGAGAGAAGGAAGAGGACGGTAACATCTCTATTACTACATGTCAATAGTTCAAAATTCTAATAAACTCAATGTTAATCTGACCATAATAATAAAATTAAGAAACCGACACATGAATGAATGCACAATAAACTCAAGTTTAGTTGACGAAAGGAAATAGAAGAAGCTAATCCTCATTAAACCTTTTAAGCCAAATTCCCTATCACAAATTATCGCCTACGCCCTCTCAATCTAACATGGCACTTTTTCTTTCATACTAAAAAGAAAAGGAAGACACTAACATTAGCGTAGATACCTTTTTGAGTAAACATTATTGTTCATGTCTCTTTCTAGATATAGTTTTGATCATGCCCCTCAAGATTTTCTTGAACCATACAACATTCAGTACTGCAAGCATGCAAGGGCCGATGAGAAGACTGTAATACCCCAAGGGAAATATTGTCTTCACCTGTAAATAGATGCAAATAAATGACTCATATACCTTACAAATTTCATAATTTTTTTCATAATTTTTACAAATTTCATAATTTTTTTCATAATTTCGTATAATGTGTTCGATTAACATACAGCCTTATAAGCTCAAATCAGATATCTCTAATGCAGAACATACCTGATCAAAGTGAAGATACAAATGGGTGAAGAAGTAGATGAAGAGAATTATCCTTGCAACCTAAAATCAAATACACCATCAATAAAGATTTTTCAATAATGTATAGCATGAAAGCCAGAGTTTCTATTGCGATTGATTTTCTTGAATTACCAAGTTGAAGCTAATTTCATATGCATCACACTTATTCAGTATCCATTTTCGGGTCTACTTAATTTAATGAAAAACATCAAAATAATTTGTTTAACATATTATTAAACTTGTGATGCATTTCAATGTAGGAAGTAAGATGGATTGGAAAGGCTTACTTCCTGCCCGATGTCATTAGTAGATAAAAGCAATGATGCATCATAAGGATTATTATATTAGCTGAACTAATTAAAATTTGTAGCTTTGATAGTCATCTGTATAGCATGAACCGTTCTATGATGAAGCTTACATGTCTGACACTTTTTAATGTGCAACTGTATAATATATTTTTAATTTAATATATTTGTTGGACATTTATAAGATAAAATGTCTTATCCTTCTTGCTCTGGCACATTACATGTTTGAGATATTTATTTAGTTTCCTTTGCATATAAAAGATTATACTTCACTGAGAAACTAAACACAACATGTGTTTTCACAAAATCTTATCTGCACGGAAAATATATTACAAAATGAGGATTTTTTTTGGGAATATACAAAGAGGTTAATTTCTTACCAGCCAACCGACAAACATTGCTACACCATTGTAAATGTAAAGTGTAGAACTCTTTTGACCTGCTATATCTAGATACCTACAAAAATTTTCTTTTGCTTTTAGTTTCAGAATATAAACTTCAGTTTGTATATGAAGCCAAGAGAACAAAATGAAACATACCATCGTAAGTTTACAAAAGGTGTTGTTATTTCAGAAAATAGAACCATGAGAATGTAGATATGTGCTTGGCCACTTATAAGAGACATTAAAATTGAGTACATAGAAATTCCATGATGCAAGATCTGAAATGACAATAATAGGGTGGTAAATAATTAGAATAAACTCAAGATATAAAATTTACAACATGTGTACGCAAGAAAGTACTTACATATTCCTTTCCACCTAATGATGGAAAAAGCCACAGGATCATTGCCATGTCTGTGAGAAAATAACCCAGCGAAATCTGTAGGAAATTACATGAATCGATAATACGAGTCAAGTATCTATATTACGTTAAATATGTCTTGGATCTAAATGTTCTTCCAATAGGACATAAATGATGATGTGTTTTTAGGAAAAAAGTAATTGATAGAACTTAAAATAAGAACTGACAAGCTTGTAGGTAGGCTTCATAGGAGATAAAAAGACATAATTCTATTAACTATTTACTTCCAAGAAAAAGAAAAAGAAAAAAAAAACATAGAAACAAATTCCAAGATAGAAACATACCCCAAACATGGCATCAGAGAGAATTGATTTTCTATTCACTACTAAACCACCAGGATTCTCGTCTTTGAAAGTGTCCGATAAAACTAGCAAATAGAAAGAAACTGCTGCAGCAACAATTGAATGGAATGTAGAAAACCCCCTGTAGGAAGAAGTAATTTGATGATTCGTTTACAGAAAGAATGAAGTGAACAGTAAGCAAACAATCTATCATAAAAAAATTTCACCTGTTATTCCACTCGATTTTCTGTGATTTGGTTAGCTTGTTATAGCCCTTAAAGCACGATAAGCTGATCTGACCAGTAATTTCATATACCTACATGAGCAAAAGAAACATATCAGCAATGAGATAACTTAAGAAATTGGATGATAAAATATCTTCATCATGCTCACAAATTGATTTCTGAATGTAGTTGTAATCAAAACTTGACTACTGACCCAAAAAAAAAAGGGTTGAAAAGGGGATAATTTCCAAGTTCATTGGTTGAAAAGGGAATTAGATTAGATCCTCGGTTAAGACTATTGTGGCTTTTGCTCTAGAGAAACGAAGGATGCTAGCCTACAATCTGAAGGATGACATCAACCACCATTCCAAATCCTTACATTATAAAAAATGAGATAATTCATGTAATAAACGTCAAAGTAATTCCTTAGGTTTCGATGCTTCAATCACTCTGGCAAACAATTTTTATGTTCTTACTTAGGCTTTCCTTTCAGAATTCCACATCTCCCATCCTACTTAAATTCTCGATCAACTCTTTTCAGCTTTCCTTATGTTTCCTTTCAGAATTCCACATCTCCCATCCTACTTAAATTCTCGATCAACTCTTTTCAGCTTTCCTTATGTTAATATGATAAAGATAATATAGCCCATCCTACTTAAATTCTCGATCAACTCTTTTCAGCTTTCCTTATGTTAATATGATAAAGATAATATAGGCAAAGCTAATGGCACCACAAATGGTTCAATATTTCCATGTCAGGCACTTAACTTTAGCAATTTCAGACATTTCAAAAGCCCAACCACATAATATACACATTTGCATATCCAAGGGACTAGAAACAACATAACGTTGATCGCTAACATATTAATAGTTCTCACTGTTAACCACAAACACATTTTAGATCATAGTAAACATTAACATTTCAATGAAAAGCGATAAATCAAGAGCATGGATTCTAATCTACTAGCTTGATTAGTATAAAGATAGTTGTTTCTGTCATAAAATTTACTCATTTAATGGACCTGAAACTTTGGTTCAATTGGTGTAAATTAGACACTTCTATTCTGTTGTTCCAACCTTAGTTCACGTAGTTTTGCTACCAACAAAATAAGAGGCTACACCTTTTTTCTTTTTCAAGAATATTGGGAAATTGTTAAGGAAGATGTGTACAGGTTGTTTGAGGAGTTCTATGAGGGAAAATTAGAATTGGATAGATTAAACTATGCTTATATTGTTCTGATTCCTAAAAAAATGGATGCTTGCTTTGCTGGTGATTATGGACCTATAAACATTTTGAATGTAGTATATAAGATCATAACAAAGGTACTAACTAATAGGATACACATTTGCATATCCAAGGGACTAGAAACAACATAACGTTGATTGCTAACATATTAATAGTTCTCACTGTTAACCACAAACACATTTTAGATCATAGTAAACATTAACATTTCAATGAAAAGCGATAAATCAAGAGCATGGATTCTAATCTACTAGCTTGATTAGTATAAAGATAGTTGTTTCTGTCATAAAATTTACTCATTTAATGGACCTGAAACTTTGGTTCAATTGGTGTAAATTAGACACTTCTATTCTGTTGTTCCAACCTTAGTTCACGTAGTTTTGCTACCAACAAAATAAGAGGCTACACCTTTTTTCTTTTTCAAGAATATTGGGAAATTGTTAAGGAAGATGTGTACAGGTTGTTTGAGGAGTTCTATGAATTCGATTTCACTAAAGCATATGACCTTTTGGATTGGAGGTTTATCCTAGAAATTTTGAAAGCAAAAGGATTTGAAGAGAATCGGATTAATTGGATTAGCATTCGTTTGCAAGGAGGTAAATCTGCCATTCTCTTAAATGGTGAACCAGGAAAGTGGGTGTTTTCTAGAAGAGGGGTGAGACAAGGAGATCCTCTTTCTCCATTGCTGTTTGTATTAGCAGCTGATGCTTTTACAAAGATGATGTTACTAGCTGAAACAAATGGGTTAGGATTAGGACCAGATTCATGTAGAAAGGTTCTCTGTTTGCAATACGCTGATGACACATTAATCTTTTGTAAGTCTAATAAGGAGCAATTAACCATTTTGAAGATGTTGTTATATGGTTTTGAAATGGTTTCAGGATTAAAAATCAACTTTATGAAGAGCTCAATTGTTCGTTTACAAAAAATGTATTGTTTGACCCATTTAAATTAGTGATCAATTTAACCACTAATAGCTCAACATAAGGACATTTTGTTGAGAGGATAATAAGTAGTGTGTTGTTTGAGAGAATCTCTCTCTCGGATATTTGAGGCAGTCTCTGAGGGGGTGGAGATGATGGGGTGTAGCCTCTATATATAGAGCAGTCTTCTCTTTGAGAAAACACAACATAGAAAAGTAAAACCCAATCCCATTGCTGGAGCCCCCTCAAAAACTCATTACACATTTCTCTTTTGTTTTCGCTCAGTAGTATCTGAGCTAGTTATTCTATGTTTTATATCTTCTACCTGCCTAAAACCAATAGCTACCTTTCTCTTCGAAATTAAAGAGATATGTAGCCTTTTTTTTGTTTGTTTGTTTGTTTTTTTTTTTTTGCCACAATAGTTCTGTACTCAAAGTTTTCTTTCTCTCACCTATCTCTTCCCAAGAAAAAGAAAGCTTTGAGCTGCTCCCAAACTTCACTCGTGAATTCCACTAGCCAAAGTCTTTTTTCATTTTATTTTTTGTGGTTGTTTTATTCTCTCAACAATCATCACGTGAACCTGCCCTCACCATTACCCATTATATATTTTTTTTATTTACTCCAAAGAGCTCAAAAGTTTCTATTTCTCACTTCCTAATGTAGCATCTTCATACGTGACCCTGCTTCCACTGAGTTTTTATCATTTTTTTAGGCAGCTATTCCTTGTGAACTCATTGGGTCCTCCTCCTCTACCTTATAGTCACTTAAGCCATTTGCAACTGTCAGCTCAGCACCCTGCAGATCCAGTTCAACACAACCAAGCACTGGCGGAACATCTCCAAACGGAGTTCGAATCGACTTCGACAAGTGCTTCTATGATCAACACCACTAAGTGACGACCTTTCTAGAATTGGAGCTTCAATTCTAAACTCACAATAGCCAGGTCCATTTTAATTTATTTCATTTTTATTTAAATAGAAATTCATGTATATTTTTTGTAGTATTCATAGTACACATATCTAAAAAAAATTCGACAAAATTAAAATTTTAGTTTTAGTTCTCTACCGAATGGCTAGTAAATTTGTTCTATCATAAGAAAAAAATATTAAAAAATTTAATGTCGGTCCCATAGAAAAATAGGATATGCTCTTATTCATGATAATATCAATGATGTAATCAAAATCACTGCTCCAACCCTTGAAATAGTTAGAGTAGTGGAAGTTGAAAGATAATAAGGAAAAAGCATGATGCTCATGTTCATGGAAGATAATTTAATCAAAGTTTTTTAAACATGCAAAACTTTCATGGACATGTGGAAAGCTATTAAAGAAAAATACGACACTGCCTCTGAAGTTAACATTCAGTTCCTCTTATATAAGTATAATTCTTGTCATATGCAAGAAGGAGCCAATATCATAGAGTATATTAATAAGATGATTATCATGACTAAGGATTTTTCTACTGTTGGGACTAAAATCTGAAAAGAATGCAAGTGTCAACCATTTTGAATATTCTTCCCCCTTCTCTTGCTATGGCTACCACCACATTAAGAATGAACTCTATCATTAAATCTGTTAATGATCTTCCTATATAACTAGCGATAAAATAAGACTTAATAGCCAGCAGGAAGTAACCAGAACTGAACATAGTGCATCAAAAGATGAATTATGTCTGCTAGAGGCATAATGCTTAAAGCTATAGAAACCTTGGCCCTAACAAATCACAACTACAAGGACAGAAATTGCAGCAATTTAAGAGGAAGAAAGTACCCATAGAGCTTGCTATAATTATGGAAAGTTCGGGCATTTTAGGCTTTCTTGCCCACAAGTTGAAAAACAGGAGAATAAAGAAGGCTATAAGCGTCTGAAACAAGGAAGTACTAGCAAAAGAGAATTCATCAGTGTAACGGAATGCAACGTTACGATGACGGATATTAATAGTTGGTGGATCGACTTCGGTGGGACAAGGCATATCGCAAAGGATATCGCAAAGGATAAGAATGGAGTCATAGAGTTCATCGAGCTGAAGAAAGGTGAGCAGATAATTTATATGGAAAACAATATCTACCTCTATGTAGAAGATATTGGTTTGTACGTATTGGACTTTAGGGGCAGTGTTCTTGTCCGCAAAGATATGTTTAACATGCTAGGCATCTGGTGCAATATGATCTATGTTCCCACCTTGATGAAGAAATGGTTGAAAATTAGGTTCTATAATAACAATGTTTTTATAGGCAAAAAAATAAAGTATATGCTATGAAAAAATATGTAACCAAGCATGAATTATGTTCTTCTAGTAGTTTATAATAATTCTGATAAAAAATTTCAGATTTGAAGTTGAACTACGTGTCTGTTATATTTCTGAGTCTGAATTGTAGTATTCTAGACTAGGGCATGCTAGTATTTTAAAAATAAAAGAAATTATCAAAATAAACTTGTTGCCTACACTATCTAATGTTCAATTACCCTATGTGAACATTGTTTAATTGATAAAATGATTAGAGAATCTTTTATTGGCAGATAAAGAGCCAATGAACTTTTAGGGTTAATACACTTGAATGTTTTTGTTCTCCTAAGTGTTAAAACTCATAGTAATAAAGAATATTTTATCACTTTTATAGATGATTATTTCAATTTTACATATAGAAGACCTTTGAATGCTTTAAGAGATACAAAATAGAAGTTGGAAACTAAATTGAATGAAAATCAAAACTTTGAGAACTTATAGTTCTAAAGAATTTGTGAGTTACTGTATTCAACATGGAATTAAAATGCATACAATAATGTTATATACACCATAATAGAATAGTGTTGCTAAAAAAATAGAATATTGTCAAATGTAGTTAGATGCATGTTATCTTATTTTGGTCTCTCTAAAAGATTATAGTAAGAAGCATTGCTAACTGTAAATTATATTTTGAATAGAA